GAGGGAGTGTCATTCCACCGCACTCCCCTGGAACGGAATCCTGTGCCCCTCGAAAGATGAGGATTCAGAACAGCTAGCGTGGTCAGTTGAACAGCGTTTCATGCATAACGCCATGGGTAAGCATGGAAAGAACTGTTGTTAAAACTTGATCTGCCTTACCCGTATCTTGGGACGTTCGCGCGCTATTTTGGACCGATTGTCACCAGCCCGGCAGGGGCGCCACTAGCGCAAGCCTTCGCTGGCTCATGTCAAGCATTCGCTGGCCTCTCTCTGCCGGCGGCACGCTCCCCAGCGCCCTCGGGCGGCGCCTCAGCCGGGGGTTCCGGACGCCCGGCTTCCTCCATCGAGCGGCGGCGGCGCTCGCCGGCGGTCGGCAGTCGGTGGGAGCCTAGCCGACCATTAGGGGGTGCGCCTGCGCGCCGTTTTTGCGTGCCGCCGGCGCGGTGTGTTGAAACACGGACGGGACACGGGACGCTATTAGCGGCGATGAGCTAGCTGACGGGGATCGGAGGAAGACGGCCGAGCTCGCTGAAGCCGTAGCGATGCTAATCTGCGGAGGCAGGCTGCTGGACGAGGCACCATCACGTCGAATAGTTCCAGAGGAGCGGTGTTCGTGACACGATCAGGTGACGTGGGTGATTGATAGGCGGCCGATTGTTGGCGAACCGCTTCGGTTTGGTTTCAAAGTCCAGGTTAAGCACGGAAAAGCAACGATCGCAGCGAAAGCTTGCTCATCTCGCTCGCTGTCGTGATGAACCCGGATACTACGTATTTTGATACTGACGCTTGTAGCGAGCTTGTAAAATCGCGCATGAAAAAGTGCGGGTGAATTCGGGTTTGGCGTCATTAGGCCTGCATCACTAGGAACAAAGTGACAACTGATGATGATATGGTTATGAACATGGCAAATATGCAGATTGGAGAAGCTACCTACGAATGTTTCCTGGTTAAACGGATTGTGCGCACTGAAGACAGCATGTGCTAAGTTCCCACGTATTCTCCTGGTTTCTCTACGGTTTCGGGCGGGTTTGCCAGGAATGTGTTCATGGCGTCCTGATCCTTCTGGAAAATGATGGTGGTAACATGTACTTTGTACAAGTCAAGTGCGCGGTAGTGGTTGTTCTTTCAGTCACGGCAGTCTCTTACCCCATACCGATGGCATGAAATGCGGCTTGTCGGCTTGTCTTGGTCCGTACCATCGCCGTACCACACGGGAGATGGTATGAGATACGGGGTGCCGGCTTGTTTTGGGGTATGCTTATGGGATGAGATACACGGACGATGTTCGATGTTACCTGACAGCTAAATTAGCACCAATGAGAGTATAATATTTTGCTTGTCACGTGATGCGCTTCGTGGGCGCAAAATGACCATAGTCGTGGCGCGCCCTACAATCCCAATCACCATCACGATGTGCCTCGTCCAACAAGCCAATATTTTTATTATGGATACTTGACGTTATGACCTCCGTCAAAGCGAGCAGTGCTTAGCTTTTACGTTCTGGCTGATTCTGAGATTTGCTGTCCAGTTTGGTCCGTGTAGAGAAAAGGTGCTGTGTCCAGCTAAGGTTGCTGGCGAGCTCTCCAAGTACTTTTTGCGTATGGACTCAGTTTTTTGTTTGTTTCATATCACCGTGAGACGCCTGTTTTACGTTACGGGTGACAACGTTTCGGTCTTTCTATCCGTCCACTTGAATTATGCAAATCGTAGATGCGAGACGCAGGCTGCACTCATTAATGCCGGCCATAATTTGCATAATTCAGCGCGAGTGTCCTTATGTCAAATTTAGTTTGCTATGAGTGCTCGATCACTCAACATTTCTGAACGATAGCGATTTCCGGAAGTTTTTTCTTTACATTCTGGCGAAAGCGACATGTTCTTGACGCTGACGACAGAAGTATATAAGTATAAGACGATAGAAGTAAGCTGACGTCGACGACCGTTGACGACAGAGGTACGCTTAGCGATAGTGTACTGGTTTCAGGGCAGTTATCTCAATCTTGAACCCATTTACTGAAAACAATAATCCGAAGGACTGCCATGGGCCAAGCCTTTTTCGGAGCGTCGTTCACGTTTAGTTTACTTTATTCCCAGCCTCACAAGTTACCAGCATCTTGCTCATGCCGAGCGCAGGGAGACTATTCCGTCTGCCTCTGGGTCACCTCACACGGTTTGCAACTGGCAAATGAAGCTTGCTACATCATGCGACTTAAAAAGAATTGAAGACAGCGGCGGATCCAGAACTTCGCCAGTTGAAAAAAATATTACTTCTGGATTACACGTGGGGTGGGGCTCCTGCGAGGTTTTCCGCGTGGGTTCCTTACGTGGGTCTCAGGGAGGCATGACGCCATGACTGCCTTGAATCCCACCCCCCCCCCCATTTATGCAACATGCAATGCTCGTCCCCCGTCAATGACTATTTTAAAGCTTCATTTGTGACGTGAATTCGTAGCCACCAGCACGGAAACATGTCGATGGAAAGGAAGTGAACGAAGTGAACCCGATTTCCGCTCAGTCTTTTTCCCGTGCGCTCACTGGCGCGTCGCGTCGTTCACGCCGCCACAGTTTTTGTGACTTCCATTCGTCTGGCCCGTTTTTGTCGTCACGCTCACCACACCTCACGCCGCGCCACGTGGCGCAGTGACGCCAAAGTTACGCCGTGACGCTGTCGGCACGTCTGCGTTATTCACCGGTGGCCCCGAGCGTGGATGTCGGCCCCAGCGCGGCGGCGTGTTTGGATGGTGAACACCGTCGGCGCCCCTGTCGTGCGGGGCACTTAAGTCGTAACGTCAATGTCTTGTTTATGAATGAAGTGTTGTCAGCCTGCAATATATGGCTGTGTGCAGTGTGCCTGTAGGCGTTTGTCCGCGGTGTGTGTCGCGGCTGCATGTGTCCTGCGTGTGCGGTGTGTTTCGGATGTGCTGCGTCTGACTCGTTCCTGTCTGCACGCGTGCCGCGTGTACAGGACTCACCGCGGTCATTTGCAGCGTGCCTCAAGTGTTCTGTCATAAATGCAATGGGTCGATGTATAATTTAGGCTGGGCTTCCAGGCTTCCAGTGTGGAGGGCTATGGATATCCTGCAGCATCTGTCGTGAACATTTGAAGCGTGTATGATCACCAGATCTGACGCTATATGAGCGCTGCAGTTGACGTAAAGCTAATTAGAACACCAAACGTCTCTCAGACTGTAATGTCAGACGTGCGTCCATTACACGCGACCGGCCTGCGCCTGCCGTGTCCGCCTGCGCCCGCCGTCCCGCCTGCGCCGCTGTCTCCGCCTGCGCCGCGCGCTGACGCGCCACTTCTGCCGCAGGCGCGCCGGAGCAGGCCGGACCGCCGGCGCCGGGTCTGCCGCCGCCGGCCGAGCCCGCCGCCGGCGAGGCGCCCAGGAACGCCGGACTCGGCCCCGGCCCGCACGGCGGCCACGGCCCGGAGCGGCGCCCAGCGCCCGCCCCCGGCCCCGCCCCCGCGCACGCCCCCGCGCACGGACAGCCGACCCCCAGTTCGGTGAGTGCTGAGCGATAGTGACGAGGCCACTCTCTGGCCGAGTCACAAGGTGTGTTGCGGTCTTAGAGAGAGGTTTTCGACACTCAAGGTGGTGATGGTCGTGACTGAAAATGGTGGTGAAGAGAATTGTTTTGCCTGAAATGTCCTTTGTTTAGCATCAATAATGTGGAGAAAGGACCGGTGTTGTGAAGAAAGGTTTCCAGGTGTCGTTGGCGATTACTGTGGTGTCGATAGTTTTCCTCTCTTCTCGAGCTAACGCCCAGTGTGACCATTTCAGAGTTACCAGATCTGGCAGCCGGGCTGGCCCTCTTCCAGCGCTCCGACCGCTTCCGTTCCGTCCGCCACGGTTACGTCCCCGCGGCTGGTGCTTGCGCCCGCCGCCAGCGAAGACGCCCCAATCATCTGCGAAATCGGCCAGATGAAGAAGCCGCCGGCCCGCCGCGCTCCCGAGTCCACTCCGGTGGCGGCGCCGGCGGCCTCTTCCGCCGCTGCGCCGGTCAGACCGCCGCCGCCGGCCGCTACGTCTCCGGCCAGGGGACCGACGGCAGCCGAGGCCCCAGCCCCGGCCCCGGCTTCGGCTCCGGCTCCGGCTCCGGCTCCGGCCCCGGCCCCGGCTCCCGCGCGTCGCGGTGGCCCGCCGGCAGCTGGCCGGCCTGTGCAGCAGCAGGTATCCGCCCTAGCGACGACCCACCAGGCGGGCTCCGTCAGCACGCATCAGGATCAGACCGAGAGTCCGCGAGTCCGCGGCGAGCCGTCCGAGCCTCGCCCAGCGCCGCCCCGGCGCGCCGACCCGCCCGAGCCTCCGCGGCCGCGACCCGAGCCGCCCCGGCCGGCGGCACCGGCGCCGGGCTTCCACCAGTACTTGGCCGTGGCGACGATGCCGCAGTGCCCGCCGCGGCCGCGTCGCGCACTCCTGCCGCGGTCCTTCCCGGGCATCAGTCGCTCGGTGGTGACCTCGTTCAGCGGCGGCGGTGTGGTTGTGCAGCAGTCGGAGTACCGCGCGCAGCTGGTGGAGGCGCCGCGCCGCCTTACCGCCGAGAGCCAGGTCAAGATAGTCGAGCTGCCCAACACGACGCCGGTCAGGAATGGGCTGAATGGTGCGGTGGACGGCGGCGCCGCCGGAGCAGGCCAGGTGACGTCGGAGTCCAGCCGACCGGCGCCGGCGGTGGCGAAGAAGGAAGAGAGGAAGCAGTCGCCCGCTGGTCAGGCCAACAAGCGGAAGGCGGTGGATGTCAAGGAGGAGGCGGCGCCGGCGAAGAGGGCGAAGATGGAGCCGGGCGCGAAGAGCGAGGACAGGTGAGGGGAAACCAGCGGTGAAACCAGTGTTCAAAACCGTTTCGGCGAAGTCGGAACCAAAACCAGTGAAGACCGAGAAGCTCAAAGCTAGTCCCAGCAGTAAAGTATCGGATTCTGATGTCAAAACATCTGTGAAGCCGCCCAAAGCCAAATCAAAACCCCCGGCGACTGGTTCTACCGAGAAGAAGACCACCAAGTCCGAGCGAGCCGCCCTTGCCAATGGCGACCCGAAAAAGCAGCGGGGCCGCCCCAAGAAACCGGAGCGCTCCTACCTCGGAGAGCGGCAGCTGCCACTCAGAGGCCAGCTCCGTCAAGTCCTCGCGCTCCACCAAGGCTCGCAAGGGCGCGCCCTCGCCGGCGAACGGCGCGCTGCCGGCCAAGGAGGCGCGCCGCAAGCCTTCGGGGGACCGCCTGCTGGTGGACGTGGCTAGCCTGTGTCGGCGCACGCCCACCGACCTGGCCAAGAGCAAGCGGACGCCACCGCCGCCGCGACTGACCGACTCGCCGGCCCCGCACGCCGTGCGCGTCAAGCCCAAGCGGCCGCGCGTGGTGCCCGGCCTGACGGCGCGCAAGTCCATCTCGCCCGACCTGCCACCTAGCGAGCCGGAGGTGGCGCTGCCGGCGCCGCCGGTGCCGCGCCGCGGCCGCAAGGCGCGGGCTGGCGACGCCGAGCCCAAGCGGAAGCGGCGCACCGACCGGCAGCCGTCGGCGGAGCGGCTGCTGGCCGTACCGCGACCGCACGGCGGCCAGCGCTGGTGCCACGCCTGGTCCTTCCAGGGCGAGGGGCAGATGAAGAAGATTCTACTCAGGGTGAGTAGCAGGCGCGCAAGGGTGGGGGAGGGGGGAGGGGGGCGAGCGATGGATGCCGTGGTTGTATTGGGGTAGAGGGAGTTTAGGGAGACGGGGTGCTTAAGCATGTGGTACAGGGGTGTGGTGTTTGGAAATGTTTGTGTCTGTAGTTGTGCGGTACAGGGAACTGGAACACCGGCTTAGTAAAGTTATTAGTCAGCATATCGCACAGATCTTTAGTCTTGGCGTTTGCTGCCAAAGAGGACCATAAGTTAACCAGTTGGAAAACGGACCTCATCGAGTCACATAAGCCAATGCCTAACTTCCAACTCGCCTCAGTTATCGTTCAAAGTTGGACATAAAGTTTGTTCGGGTGTGGTTATGAAGCAAATTTCCACAACACATCACAATCGAGGTGCTAAGTGAATGCACCAAATCACAAGCGAAATCCCTGTTTTGAGGACTGGCAGGCCCAAAATGACGTCATGGCCGTCGTTCTGCGAAACCCACCCATTCGTTCCGTTCCGAATCGCGCCCGTTCCCAGCACTATTCAGGCTGGAGTTCCGTGACTCGATTACGGCTGCGGTCCTGACCTTTAACCGGCGCATCGCGCGGGCCACGAACGTCCACCCAGTCTGTGTGGACGAGCCCGGGAGCGTGCAGTTAATGCATCGGCTGCATCGATTGGCAACTAATAGGCGCGGCCCGTGCGGTCACATCACATACGCCGACCATCCGGCGGACGCCAGCCATGTCAAAACGACACGGTCGTCCTGCCCACGCCGCTTTGTGACGGGGCGCGGCGCACGTGGGCCTGCGGGGACATCGCACCCGTGGAGGTGTTCCGCTGTCGCAGTGTTCAGTGCTTCACGCGGGCGCACCGGCACAGTCGGCCGAAAGCTTGATGCTACGAGTGACAGAGCGTTTCCGTCATTATTAAGTCGTCTTCGACACTTTTGCCTGCGTTTGTGGGAGAACGTCCCGCCTGATGTTGTCGGGTTACAGGGAGCCCCAATCATGCCACCATATCCGCAGTAAGTGTGCGTATACTCGCCCCATCCCAAATGTGTCTTATGAATGGCTAGTGTCGAAGTCACCGCGAGCAGTCGTTAACACCGGCTTCGCTGGTGCCGGCAGAACGATAACCAGATGGTGGAGCGTCTTTGCTACCCGTCGATGCGGCACCAGGAGGGGGACGAGATCCACCTCAGGGACTGTGTCCTGCTGCGCTCCGGCCAGAAGGACGAGATGCCTTTCGTCGGCAAGGTGGCGGCCATCTTCCAGAACCCAGAGGACAGTGAGTGACTGGCGGACCGCGTGCTGCTTTCGTCATTGCGTGCTGTCACGGCACGGTGGGCATTATCAGACTGATCTCACACCTGCAAACCGAGCATGGAAGAGTGTCGTAATTTTTGGTGAAGCCCTTTCGGCGACGAGTGCATGTAGAAAGCTCTGGAACGTTGCGTACTGGGAGCTCGGTGTTGTCGCTGTGCAGTGGCACGCTTAGATGCGTTCCACATCCGATCTGCGTAAACGCGGGAAGACGTGTTTAATTAAGGCACGCCCTTCCTAAGAAAGCAGAGGACTCAGCCACTGTTGTAGTTGTTCTGTTCAGTTGGGGAGGCTCCAACCCCCCCCCCCCTCCCCTCCAACTTGGGCTCCAGACCCCCCCCCCCCCGTCCCAACTTTGTGAAGTAAGTGCCGAATGCAGAGGAGAGCCTGTTTGCGGTGTCTTTTTTTGGAGGGGTAGATTTCGTTTTTTCACTGCTCAGCCTCCCGAATTTATTTCGCGAAACTACAGCCCTGTGCTCAGCCATTCAAGGCCTACACATAGCACGTACGGTCGCACCACTGGACCTCTTCCCATAACTGGTGCATCGCCATCGCCGCCCTCTTCACGGCGCAGCGTCGTGACCGGCTGCTGCCCGTCTCCGCAGACGAGATGCTGGTATCCCTGCTCTGGTACTACCGGCCGGACCACACCGAGGAGAGCGACGAGACTCAGCAGGAGCCGGGCCAGGAGACCAGGCCGCCGCCGGCTCCTGGTCCCGGTCAGGAGCTGAAGCCGGCCGCCGGCCCCCACGAGCTGAAGAGCGTCTCGCCGGCCGAGGTGTTCGCCTCCAAGCACCGTGACACAAACTCAGTGGCGTGCATCGAGGACAAGTGTTTCGTGCTGACCTGGAATGAGTACTGCAGGTGAGCTGGCTGAAGCCCGGTTCTGCTGAAACACAAGGGCTGCGACTTGTGATTGGTCAACCATGCCTCGACGCCGTACGGTTTGTCTGGATGCTCGGAGACGACCTGAAGATGGTGGTAGTTACCTGAGACGCTCCATTAGAACAAACTTGTGTCCTACCTGACTCGTCAATGATGTGTTTTTCGCCATCAATCCATCCCCGTTGGCGTGGTCGTTTGTCATCTCCACAACCGCCGAGCTTGCAGCACAATGTGAAAATATCTCCCGCCTGTCGCCCTCAAGCCGACCGAATCCCGACGACGTTGGCTCGCGTGGGTGGCGTATTGCTTACCCCTCCCTCTCGCTCTGCACCCGCAGGTACGTCAAGTTCCTGGCGCAGTGCCGGCAGGGGATTCCTTCGCAGCCAAGCGAGGTGCCCGAGGCCCCTGACGAGTATCCGCGGGCGTCCATGCTCCCGCCGGCCAGGGTGGCCCCCGACCGCATCTTCTTCTGCCGGCGCGTGTACGACTTCAAGTCCAAGCGTATTCTGAAGAACCCCGCCTAGCGGCCGCCGGCGCCGCGCGGACTCCGGGCAGAGCGGCCAGAGGGAGAGAGCGGGCGCAGGAGCGGTTGAATCTTGTGATAATTTGCGCGGACGGTTCCGCGGCCCCCGCGCGCAGCCCGCGCTGCTCGATCCCCAGTGACAGTGGGTCGCCTTGACCGGCCGGTGGAGCGGTGGACGAAGTGTGGACAACGCGGCCGGCGCAGCGGCAGCCTGCCAATCTGGCCAAAGTCGCGCGCTGCGTTCCCGCCGACGCTCCCGTTACCATGGAGACGCAGCGTGCCGCGCGAAGGTCGGAAAGGTCAGGATCCCCGGACGTCGGTCCCCAAATTGCCGGTCCGCGCGGTCGGAGGCGCTCTTCTCGAGTGCCACGGCCCTGTACAAACGTATTTTTGTACGTTCTTTTGATAGCATCCCCGTCGCGTCATAACACACGTCATACATGCGTGCGAAGTGCCAGTCCCCGTTCACCGGCAGAAGTTACAGTACACAAACAGTCGCCGGCCGCCGCGGCCGGTGCCGTCGAGCCCAGCGCGCCGCTTTGGCCGCCGAGTGAGTCCGTTGTTGTTACGCGTCCGGAGCAGGGTGGAGCGGACGCCCGCGACCGTCGACGATCGCCGCGGTTTGTCACGGTTGTTGAATTCGGCCGGTGCTGGTGAAGGTTGCTGACGGACACGGGTGCTAGCGGAGGGTATCGCAGAGCTGGTAGAGCTTTACTCGTTCTGTTACGTATTGCTGGCAGTGGCGGGAGCGCTGGTGGCGCCGCGCTGCGGCCGCCAGGTGAAACACGGCTCACGAGCAGCCCCGTCCGCACCTGGTTTGCGTGTTGTTTCGTGCGGCGTTTGTTCTGTGATGTCCTAACCACTTAGCGTGTGGTCGGGGGCCGGCGGGCGTTCAGCACGCACTCACCGGTGTCGGGGTTTCTGCACACGTAGGGGCCACGGCGGCCGTAGTTCATGTTTTAGCCGCAAGGTGTCGCGCATTCCACCGGGACGCCGCTGCATATATATTCCGTACCGCTAGGGATCCGTGTCTAGACATGTGTTACCTCTCCGCTTCTCCCCCTGTTTGTCGGTTTTTCTTCCACGGTTTCGAGGACTACGCGGCGTCGGACGTGTTGGCCCCGATCGTGTACATTTGAGCTGGAGTGTGCGTCGTGTGCACAGCTTTAATCAAATACTTTTACAAGTGTGAGCGCGTAAGCCGACGCGAGAACGTGGAGTCCCTTCGCTAGGGATCTTGAGTGTCTGTGTAGAACTCCTGATAAATTTTATCTCCACCACCTCATAGTTAGGCCTTGCTAGCGTGCCTTGTGTGTGCAATGTACTGTTTACAAATACATGATTATACGCAGTATAGATGAAAGAGGTGTTTTCCTCGTGCCATAGTCCACGAAATTGCTTTCTGCAGGAGCTAACGCAGGATGGAGCTGCCATGGGTTAGACGTGATGTAATGCATGACTGAAGCATGCGAGTACCTACACTTAGCACTCATAAGAGATTACTTAACAGGACAATTAAGATCTAAAAAAGTTCTCGGACGCCTGGCATCCTTCAGCAGCTACCAAAAGGTCACGCAGTTAACACGTGCCGATGACGGTGCTTCAGAATGGAAATGGTCACGCTCACGCATGCCTTGGGCTTCTCTTGAGCCGGTCACAGCCCGGCATTTTGTCTGCTTAAAGCAGCCAGCTCGGTCTAGTGGTATGGCCACAGGGCTTTTCTTACGCAAGGTCACTTTAACTCGGTGATCATATCCAGCTGTTGGCTCATCTGGAGCATTGTCGGCTATGGCTGTCATTCGAGGTAGCTGGGCCGCCATCAGGGCTACAGGAGCACTAGCCGTCATGCTGCTCCAGGCATCGAGACCGTCATGCCTCCACGCTCCATGCCTCCGCGGCAGTACCAGCAGCTGAGCAGCGTGAGCATGGTCTCACGACTGGAAATTGATCGATTGTGTGATGAAAGCCAGCTGTCTCCGAGCCGCGTGATGATCTTTTGCACCTGTCTCCCAGCGCTGAAAGAATGTCGTCGTAATAGTTATTGCCGGCCTCTGACTGTCCGCACGCAAAGATAATTCGTCCACCTTAAAGCTTTCGTTTTGCTACCAGTTGCTCACAGATATTGCGGTATACTCACCGGGCTGATGATTCGGTGCTGTTTCGGAGCAACGACATGAGAATGAGGTGGAGTGGGGCCCGGGGGGGGGGGGGGGGCGTGGGTGCCATGGCAGCCCCACTTTGCGAGAATTTTGAGCATAACCCTATGGCGACGCACGGGAAAAATATACTTCAGCACTTATTTTGACACCCCTACTTTCTGATACGCTCCTCCTCCTATGACATGGAGGAAAGATCGGTCGGTGGTTGGTATAAAGATTTGAAGACCGCTGGGCCAGAGGTTTGTCAGGCTCACTGACAACCTCCAGTTGCCTACATCCTGTATTCTTAAGCATTTTCTTTTTTAGTATGGTTTTACTTTCTGATGGCCAGAGCGGTGGCAAAGAAATGCATTTGTGTGCTAATCACATGGAATTGTATTACATGACCTTCACTTATCTCATTCATTATCATGGAGTTGTACGCGGTAAACCTGCAGTTGCAAGGGACAAGACTTAAGTGCGTGAATCCTGCCAAGGGAGAGCTTAAAGAGTTCAGTACAATGCCACTAAAACCAGTTAACACAGCAAGAAATATTCATGCGTTGGAAAAAAAACCTGGTTTTCTCCTATTCCTTCGCAAATTTAATGAAGCTTTGCATACCATTATTGCATATACCATGTAAAGGTTCCAATAACCAGCAGGGTCTCCGGAACTGACGGAGGTCAGGGGCAAGACACGACTCGCATCAAGGATGACAGAGTTGCTTCAACCCACAGACACTCTCACAAAGGAGGCTCATCAGTTTCACTCTGCATTATGCAAATTGCCTGATGGAGTCAGTGGCCAGAAGACGTTCCGTGAACTCTGACCGCCTATCTCGTGTCTCAACAGAGCTGAAACATTCGCTGGTCGGGTAATCTGTTTTCACGGGGTCCGCCAATCCGCCCAGCGCGTGCCCACTGGTCCAGATCACATCAGCAGCGCCCTTTCTGTCCACCCACGGGTGGTCTGAGCTGTGGCGGCTACTGCACTGTCAAGCAGTAGCAGCCATAGCTCGGCGGCCGCGGGCGTCTGTCCGCTGTGCGGTGGAGGGTGCGGCTGGACTGTCGACTGCCAGTCTGACTGTCCGACTGTCTGACTATCTACTGTCTGGCTGTTTGGACTGTTTGACTAGCAGTCTGGCCATCCGACTGTCTGACAGTCTGATGTTCTGGACTGTCTGACTGTTTAACTGTCTGTTTGACTGTTTGACTGTGTGACTGCCTGTGTGACTGTCTGGCTGTTGCTGTCGGTGCATTCGGTCGACCGGCTCGGTGGCAGGCTCTGGAGCGGACGTCATGAGAGCGATTGCTGTCGCTGGTCGGCCGTTCTTCCCAACAGTGAGTTATCCCGAGATGGGGACCAGCGCATCAGGCTGGCGCCAGGCGTCCAGTGATCCAGGCGTCCAGGAATCCAGGCTTCCAGTGATCCAGGCTTCCAGTGATCCAGGGATCAAGGCGTTGTGCTGGCGAGGCGGGGGCTGCATGGGTGCAGGGCTGCCGGACTGAGCGGGGTGCTGGACGGCGTGAAACGCCAGACCCGGAAGTGAGAGTAAGAGAGAACGACGGACCGGAAGAAAGAGCCCGATAGTTACATAAAGTAGAACGCGATTACATGGAGACAGAGAGAGGTAGAAAGAGGAACAGAGAGGCGGGGAAAGCCTCAAATTAGAGACGATGCAGGTGTGATTCATGTGACATTCAATGCATCGTGACGTTGAGAGCTGAACAGAAAGGATTGAGGCAGGTGATTGACTGCGGGTCATGACTTTCAGTCATGCCAGAAACACGCCAATTCTTTATATTATACTTGTCTATGGCATCAGGGCCAAAAAAAATAATATAATAATAATACAATAATAATAAAAGCGAAAGGACTGAGCAGACGGTTTGATACAGAATCGGTATCCCAGTGAGCAGCGAGTGGAATATCAGGGGAAAAAGAGGCTTAGGGTGTCGTTCACAGCTATTTTTCTTGTCGCACTTGGAAAGGGAAGCACGTTATAAATGTATGGACCTCGTACCATACTTTCTGTGGTCATTATTCGATCTTGATATGACACGGATCGCACCGTTCGAGTTATTTTGAGCATGCAAAAAAAATATAAAATGACCAGAAAGAAGCTGAGCAGTTAAAATGTATAAGTCAAAAAGTGGCTAAAATACAAAACGATTGCGGCGAGGGCCTCGCCGGAAAGAAACAACCCGTAGAACTCTGGAAATTAGATGGTTTCACCACGACGAAATCGCGTAACCGCCCCTGGGAGTTAAAAAGAATGCGCGGCAAACATGACAAGACAGGAGCTTCGTCTTCACTTAGAAAGTTGGTAACTGTATTGTAATGTGCCCTCCTCCATAGAACCGTGATTTCATGAAAAAGTATGGGCCTTTGGACTGCGATCGTCGAAACCTAGCGCATTACACTAGCGACACCTAGAGAGGGATAGATGGCGCTACCAGCACGAAGTGCGGTAACAAAGTTCTTATTCGTCGGATCTAACCAATTCATAAGGCTGCCAGAACGCAAAGTGCTCGTGAATACATGAAGCACACACTCTTGCACCCAGTTTGAGCTCTTTTTTACTGTTTTGAACAGTTTTAGAGTCTAGTACGTTCAAGCACCGCATATATCAAAAAGTCCCACGATCTTGCTAAATGCCAAGCCCACTTGGTTCATCCGCTTGCTTGGCAACGTGGGAACAGAGCACTGAAGAAAGATTGGTCACATGCAAGGACCATGCTCACCTTGAAAAGATAGTAGATAATGCTGGCAATAGCTCGGACCATCGGAAAGAAGGATTACCCTACCAGCGCGGGATCTCAAAAGTCTAGCGCAACATTTGATGCATGCTTTCTCCGCTCCCTGCAGTTTTGGGAGATCGGGTCTTTCCATGCTTCCCATTGGCTGACGATTAAGTATACGGGCCTCCTGTGTGATGCTCGGCAGCGTTCGCGGTACCCTCTTTGTCAGCGTTCGGTGGTGCCCTGTATGTCAGCGTTCGATGTCGGATGTTGGATCGCCCCTGGGGCATCAGATTCCTGGAGTCCCACAGACGTTCTTGGTGACACCTAAATCTAAGCCGTTTGATTGCTTTCATTTCCTCCGTCTTATTTTTCTTCCGCATCCACATTTCACAGGTGCACCTTGCATTGTTTTTATCTATTTATCTAAAGGCATTCAATGGGGTATGGCTATTGGCGCCTTCGTCATCGATAACTTAGATTGCTCCAAGCTCGCCATAATTGGCAGGACTCTTCAGGCATATTATGCCTGAGCAGACAATGGCGTCGCATCGGCTATTTTCATTACCTTTTTCACTCACATTTTCCGATGATGTTTCAGAACCTTAGATAAAGAGCAAAAAAATGATACATACTCGAAGCGGTTGATATATGCTTTCATCTTCCGGCTTTCTGGCGTTTTGAGTTATCTTTCTGACAGTATCAACGACCGACCTTCAGTATGCTAGGGGCCACAATACCCAAACGCAGCAGCTAGATTGCCACACGCATCTAGACAGCAAGACTTTTGCAAGGGGGATAACTTTACCCATTTTAACATATTCCGCGCTGCCGTTACTTCTGACCACCAGCACCGGCTCTGTTCTCGCCGATCCGACGGTGGCGGTGCCTGGCGGCCAGGCTAGGTGGTGAAACCAAGCCGCGTTGCCGTCGGGTGTTACTTTTTAAAATCGGTCAGGGGGTTCAACCGAAAAGGTTGACCTAACCTACCCCCAAAACCTGTTTTTCCTCAGATGTCGGTCACTTAAAGTTGTGTCCTCGATGTCAAAATTGGGAAAAGCTTGTTTTGATATTTCCTAGATTCAAAATTGTTTCCTGCGTTTGAGTGATGTCTCATTTTGTGTAAATGTGAGCAGTTTTTTTGTGAAAAGTTTGAAACACGGTGTAACTCACAGAAAACAACATCGTATCAAATTTGAAGAAGGAATTGCGGATGACTACAACTGTCGGTTGTCGTGTTATGTAACCACCACAGTCATGATTATGTGGCAAATGTACTATGCACTGCACAAATACGCTTGCCCCTGTTGGGGAAAGCATGGACTAACTTTTATCAACGTCACCCTTTACTTTTAAGTGCTGCAGCACTTGCAGTCATTGTTCTTAATCCTAATCCAGGTGCTGTTGTTTGAAAATCTTGCCAAACATTAGCAGACTGGGTAAACATTTGAAAGAGTTAGCATGACAA